TAAAAAAATTTTTTATTATTTTGAATTAATTTTTTTAAATTGAATTAATTTTTTATATTTTAGATTTAGAAAGTGAGGAATTGGAGGAGGATGAATTGGAAGAGGATGAATTGGAAGAGAATAAATTGGAGGATGAATTGGAAGAGAATGAATTGGAAAATGAATTAGAAGAGGATGAATTGGAGGATGAATTGGAAAAGAATGAATTGGAAAATGAATTGGAGGATGAATTGGAGGAGGATAAATTGGAAGAGGATGAATTGGAAGAGGATGAATTGAAGAATGAATTGGATGAAAATGAATTGGATGAGAATAAATTGAAGAATGAAATGGAGGAGGATAAATTAGAGAAGGATAAATTGGAAGAGAATAAATTAGAAGATGAATTGGAAAAGAATGAATTGGAGGAAGATGATGAATTAAAAGAGGGTAAATCAGAAAATAGTGAAAAAATAAGCCTTGAATCAGAAGAAAATTTTGATAATGCTAAATTTTATGGTAATTATTTTTAATATTTTATATAAAAATTTTTTTTAAAAATTTTTATATTAATATTTTTATATTTTAAATTTACCAAGTGAAATAATTAAAGGGCTTTAGCTTCTTTATATCAAAGATAAACATACAATTTCTGATCAAACATTTAATGAAATATTAGAAATATTTAATATTTTCAATGTTTCTCTTTATCGACTTCAAAAAGTTTTAGGAAATTTGGTTTCACTAGAACCGAAACTTATAGATATTTGTTGAAATTCTTGCTGTGCATTTACTGGGAAAAATACTAATCTTAATGCATGTCCTATATGTAAAGAGTCACGATATGCAACTAAAAAAAAATCAAAAAAATCTAGAAAACAATTAGCATATTTTTCAATAGCTGATAGCTTAAAATTACAATATAAAAATCTATCACGAGCAAAAGATCTTAGATATCGGTATGAATATATATCAAGAAAAGAATATACTTCTGAGAATAGCAAAATTGGGGATGTTTTTGATGGCAATAGATATAAAACTTTAGTAGCATCAGGCTTATTTTTAGATTATAGAGATGTTGCTTTAATTGTATCTATGGATAGCTATCAAGTTTTTAAACAAAAATGAAATGACTGTTGGATAATTTTACTTTTAAATGCAAATCTTCCACCATCAAAAAGTGTTAAAAAAGAAAGTTTAATAATTAATATAGTTATACATGGTCTAAAATCTTTAAAAGATTTTAATGGTTTTTTATGACCATTAGTTGATAAATTAAAGCAGCTTGAATATGGTATAACTTGTTATGATACAATATTAAAAAAAATATTTAAATTGCATTGCTATATTCTTTCATGGTCTGGATATATTCCTGCTTTATCTAAAGTTATTTGTTTTTCAAGTCATAATGCTAAATATGGTTGCTGCTATTGTTATATAAAATGATCTTATTTTGAAACTGCTAGACATATGTATTATCCACTTCAATCATTACAAGAATATAATAATTATGAACCAGAAAATTTACCAATGTGTTCTCATAATAGTTATATTCTGGATAGTAAAGAATGCAAAAAAGGCATAAATGGATATAGTATTTTATTTGAATTATCTTCAATTAATTTTTTTTATCATTTCCAGTAGATATTATGCATACACTTTTTGAAAATATTGCTCCTCATATGTTTCGTCATTTTATAGAAAATTTTTTAAAAATGAAATTTTAAATAATACAGAATACAAAATTTCAAAAAATAATTGGAATGAAATTGAAAAA